TGATTTCTAGGAAGGAATTTTCTGTGGGTCAACAGGTTTTATTGTTTAACTCCTGCCTTAAGCTTATGGCTGAGAAACTTCGATCCAAATGGATTGGCCTCTTTGTTGTTACTAATGTTTTCCCTCATGGTGCAGTAGAAATAAAAAGTGTAGGTACTGACAAAGTCTTCAAGGTTAACGGGCAGCGTCTGAAGTTATTCCATGAGAGTTCGGTGCCTGAAGATGTTAGCATAGAGGAGCTTTGAAAGCGCCCAACTACACTGCAACTTGACCAGGGAGCACCTTTTTCCTTTCTTTCACTCTTACTTTATAATTGAGGGCAATGTATGTCTTAAGTGTGGGGGAGGGAACCTTTTGCTTTTGTTTATTTGTTTTCATTGAATTAAAAAAAAATTAAATTGCATGTTTTCTTGTTGGTTATTCTACTACATCTCTGAATATTCTCTCTATCTTGATCGAAAGACTTGTGGTATGATGTGATTTATTTTTTTGTGCATTTTTAGTATATACGTCTGACTAAAATCTAAATTGTACATCATTAATGATAGATCACTAACCCTTGTGAGACTTTGAGCCTAATAATGGATAACACACAAAAAATGCATATTTTTCTTTCTTGTGTGATTTCACTCATGTTTGTTCGTCTCTATAACTTGAATTGACTCTTGTTGAAGCTGTTTGTTTACTTGTGCACACTGACATGATAAAGGCAATTTTGTTTATTTTGTTTTTTTAACCAGTTATCCAAAAAGCCAACCTTAACAATATTTTCCATTTGTTTGTAAACCCCTTTGAGCCTATTATCCTTTTTTTGTGTTTAAAACTCATTACAAGCCGAAAAGTGAAAAACAATATTATCACCCTATTCAAGGGGTTGGAAGAGTCTTGTATGGAGTTGTTTGGGGTTGAACATTTTGTTTATATTGTTATTATGATGTTGGTAGAAAAAAATAGAAAAAGAAAAAAAAAAGAATGAAAAATGAAAAAATAGAGAAGGTTGTCAATATTAGTCCTTCTGGAAAAAAAAAAGAAAAAAAAAAGAAAAAAAGGAAAAAGAGAAGAGAAATAAGTTGTGAGTTTGTTGTTCAATAGAATTTCCCTTTGAGATGTTTTGTAGTTCAACTCCTGCAATTCCTTTAATCTTCTTTTAACTCTTTGAATTTTAGCTTAGTACCCCTTAGGATATATCTCACCCTGACCTTGGCCAAATTACAACCATAATAAAAGTCCTTTTGATCTTTGTGTGCAATGTATTTCAATGGTGAATGTTAGAGTCTTTTCAAGCTTATGGTAGTACTACTTTCATGTTGTGCTTTGAGTGTAAACAATAACCTAAACACTTGAGAGTTGAGTGGAAACAGTTTATCTTGTCAGGATCTTGATACTTTTGATGTACTTTTTGGTGATCTGTTTTTCATACTTACTTTGAATGTCACAGTTGAATTTCTCACTAATGCCATGTCTTGAAGCTTAGACTTAGAAGTGTGTTTGCATCTTGTATCCTGATAACTTTGGAGTTTGCATGCTTTGTTTCATTTTTTGTTTTGAAGTTTCTTTGTTTTGATTTGTTTTGTTTTTCATTTTGTTCGGAGTGCAAAAGTTCAAGTGTGGGGGAATTTGATCAGTGCATTTTGATGCACGTTCTTCCATGTTTGTACTCAAGCATTTATTTGATTTGTTTTATTTATTTTTATGTTTTATTATGTTTTTACATTTTATTTTATTCTTGGTTTAATTTGATTTTCGCACTTTATTTTTCAGCTTTAGCAGTCTGCACGGAAACGATCATAACTGGAGTTCTGGGAATCCGTTTGAGGCGTTCTAAAAATTGCCGGAAAGCTAAGAGATAGAGCTACAACTTTCGTGTTGGAGTCAAAGTCAGATTCGTAACACATTTTTCCATAATATTCATTGAAATTGCAGCATTAGGATATTGTTTTAGTTTTGGGTCATGTTTTGGGCCTGAGTTATATTTTCGACCCAGTTGGGTTTTGAACCGGATCCATTGTTTGCCTTTTTAAGGAGAACTCGTGTTACTGTTCACATTAGTCACTATTCACGAAAAATATTGTGGAGCTTTTTACGAATCCTATGGAGAACTAATCAATCTGAGTCGGTCTACCGTAATTCAGGTTCCAACACTTGAGAGTGTTATAATATTATTATTTGTTTAATTTCGTTCAATGATTTTATACTCTTGTATGCTTAATTCAATTGTATGAAATATATTAATTTAATTTGGTTGATTGTATGATCCTAACATAGACACTTTTACGTTTGCTTAATTCGTTTTTGTGTCTGAATAATCATGTTTGCTTAATTCATGAAGTTTTATACCGTTTGCTTAATTCGGACATTAGGATCATAAATCTTGCAAACCTTTTTGCGCTTGCCATTGAGTTTGTATCCAGATAGAAATGACACTTAGAATATTAAAATTATAACAATCGATGATAGTAGGAACCGAATCGGTAGATTGACTTATTTCATAATCACTTTTTCATAACAGCTTATTTTAATAATCACTTTTTTTTCTCTTAATCAAAACCGACCCCCCGTCCCCATATTTCGTTGTTGTATTTGGTTATTCCTACAAGAACCCTTACGATACGATTTGAGTCATTGTCGCTATACTGCATTTTTATAAAAACACTCGTTTTGATCCGCGCGCGACAGCGGATCAAAATAAAACTTATGTTTGTGAAGAAAGTTGTTTGAATATTTTCTTTGATTGCTTTGTGGAATTCTTCTTTTGAATTTCTTTGGAATTATTGTAGGAAAATTCTTGTTAAAAACCTTGTACTTGAAGTGCTGATGAAGACTTATTTATATACTTCACTTTCTCAAATAGTGTGTAGAAGAAAGTACTGTAGGATGTAGACAGAAAGGACAAATACTTTTCGTCTTGATTTGACATTCCTATTTTGCCTGAATTCCTGTGTCATACACGAATGAGAAATAGTACCATTGGTAGTGGTTAGCAACATATCTTTCTTGAACAATGTCTTTTCAAATGAACATACATGAAAAAATAATCTTGCATCAGATCCTCTGATGATGTTCCTTGTTCTTCTTTATCAGAGTCACTTTATCCAGAGTTTTGCAGCAAAGTGCTTAGCGTGAATGTTTGATCAGAGTTGACTTGATTCTCAGAGCCTCTGTACTTGCAGCGTTTAGTTCTCTCAGAGTCTTATGAATACTGAATCTTTATACTTTGCGCTCAGAGTATTCTGTAGGAGCGCTTTAGAGTCTTTTGTAGGTAGCGCTTCAGAGTTTTCTGTGATGCGCTTCAGAGTCTTCTGTGCTGCTCTTCAAAGTCTTCTGTGTTGCGCTTTAGAGTCTTCTGCAGCTGCGCTTTCTACGCTCAGAGCTTAGCGTTAAATGATGTTCAGAGGAATTCTTTTTGTCTTCAGATGAATATTTATTTGATATCTGAAACAAAAACACTTGAACAAAATTAGAGTATATATTTTCTTTATAGAAAATTTCATTAATATTATTATCAAAATATTGAGATATATTAAGAAACAATATGTGTTCTAACAAACATCACTTCTCAGCTTAACAAACCCGAAATTCAAATTCAAATTAAATTAATTGATCAACGGTTTAGAGATGAAATCTGCAATGATTTACCTAATGCCTTTTGGGATAGAATGAAACATGTTATTTTCTTACCTTATCTTGATGACTTTAATGAAAGTTATATTCCCACTAAAGTTATGTCTGCTCAAATGAACCACGAGTATTTGGATTTATGCAAAAAAGAGATAGAATCTCTTTTAGAGAAAAAATTAATAAGAAAATCCAAATCCCCTTGGAGTTGCACAACCTTTTATGTCAATAATGCTGCAGAAAAGGAACGTGGAGTTCCTAGACTCATTATTAATTACAAACCACTTAATAAAGTGTTAAAATGGATTACATATCCTATTCCTAATAAAAAAGATCTTTTAGATAGATTAAACAATGCTTTAATCTTTTCTAAATTTGATATGAAGTCTGGTTATTGGCAAATTCAGATTAATGAATCTGATAAGTATAAAACAGCCTTTACCGTACCTTTTGGACATTATGAATGGATGTCCTTCCTTTTTGTCTTAAAAATGCCCCTTCTGAATTTCAAAATATTATGAATGATATTTTTAATCCTTATACGGAATTTATAATTGTTTATATTGATGATGTTTTAGTTTTTTCAAAAACTATAAATCAACATATTAAACATTTGAAAATATTCAAAGGATTAATTAAGCATAATGGATTAGTAATATCTGGTCCTAAGATGAAACTCTTTCAAACAAGGGTTAGATTTTTAGGACATGAAATTGACCAAGGAAGTATAATTTCTATACAAATAAGTATTGAATTTGCTTCTAAATTCCCTGGTATTATTACAGATAAGAAACAATTACAAAGGTTTCTTGGTAGCCTCAATTACATAGTAGATTATTATGAAAATCTTGCTAAAGATACGACAATATTACATGTTAGGTTTAAAAAGAATCATGGCCCTTGGACTGAAAACCATTCTCAGGCAGTCCAAAGAATTAAAAATAAGGTGAAATGTTTGCCTTGTTTATCTCTTGCTAATCCTAAGTATTCCAAAATTGTTGAAACTGATGCTTCAGACTTAGGCTATGGAGGAATCCTTAAACAAATAATACCTGAAACATCAAAAGAAGTTTTGGTTAGATTTACTTCTGGAAAATGGAATCCAACACAAGCAAAATATTCAACTATCAATAAAGAGATGCTTTCTATTATAAAATGCATTTCAAAATTTCAAGATGATCTTCTTAATAAAATTTTTTTATTAAAAATTGATTGTGGCTCAACTAAATCAATTATTGAAAAAGATGTTAAAAATCTTGTTGCTAAGCAATTTTTTGCTAGTTGGCAATCACAATTATCTATGTTTGAATTTGATATTCAACACATTAAAGGTGAAAATAATTCACTTGCTGATTATTTAACTCGTGAATTTTTGCAGGGAAAAAATGATGACCCCATATAGGGGTAGAGGCCGCGGTTATGGTCGTGGTGGGAGAGGGAGTAACAATATGTTACCCCAGCCAGAATCAAACATTCCTCTAATAGGGGATTTGACTACTGTCTATAAAGGTAGAAAAATGCAGCAATTACCTGCATCTTCAGCAAAAAAGGAAGATATTGCTTCCTCTTCCTCTAATAAAACTACATCCTACAAGGAAGTTGCGGTTAATAACCCACCTCAAGAACAAATGGATTATTTTGAAAATCCAGTAACTGAAAAAATCATGTATATTGATGATGAAGATATGAAGATAAATCCCAATGATGGTTGGTCTATCAAAACTAGATACCTCGAATCAAGAGGATATCCAGGTCTTCATGGAAAATCTAGGCCCAACCTAGAAATTCTCCTGACCGTTACCGATTCGGTAACAATTACTCACCATTACCAAAACAATAATCCTGTAAGTTTTATAAACTTCAGTAAATGTCACATTAATAAAATTTTGTTACCAAGAGAATGGGTTCTCAACCCAAATGCTGAAAAGGCAATAAGAATTGCAGAAGGAAAGTATATTTACTTTAATTATTGGGACTATGTCCAAGCTTTCACTCAAGCTTTTTATTACCAAAATCCCAAGAACAAGCATTCTTGATTTTTCTCTATTAATCAAGAGATGGTTAATAAACCCATATCAAATTGGTTTTATGAATGGTGGGCTAAATTTGGTCCATCTTTGGAGATTCTTCCTAAAGAAATTCTTAACTTATACAATCCATGGTGTGATAATAGTCCACTTATTGTAAAAAATTTATCTGATAATTTGATCACTGGACAATATCCATTCTTATTCTTTACTAAATTTCAGATTCCATGGATATGGAAATGGTCAATCACCATATCAAAAAACAAATTCAACATTCCTATTTTAGAAAGAAATTTCTTCTATAAATGGTGGAACAAGATGAGTTCAGAGGATGTCCAGAATAAAATGAAATTAATTCAAGAAGCTATAGAGGAAGACCAAAATAATAAGTTCAAGGAGAAAAGCTCCCAACAAATGTCTATGGAAAACTTGAAGAACTTCTTCCAGAGGAAATATCCCAATGAATCAGAAGATGAAATCATGGTTAGAATTTTGGATCATATGAAGAACCAATTCTTCTTTACTTTTCCAACAAAAGCATCAAAAGATGAGGATTCATCTATGAAGACAGGCTCTTCCATGGGATCAATGGATTCCCATAACTTTGATGGTTTGGCAGGAGAAGGTCAAGCAGATGAAGCTACTGCAGAAGATTTCTGGTATGCAATGATTTAATGTATGAAAGTAAAAGAAAAAGTAAAGAATTAAATTATTATCTTGTCTAGAAACAATGGAATAAGAATCAATGGACAAAGGCTAGAGGACAAGAAATAATAGAAGAAGAATCTTTACAAAAGCAAAAGACAAGAGAATCGTATCTTGTCTTTAAAATTTCTAGGCATAATTGCATGCATTTTCTTTCTTTTATAAAAGACAAGGGAATAAGAATCTTATCTTGTCTTAAGAATTTCTAGGCATGCATTTTCTTTCTTTTGTTAAAGCTTTTTGGTTTCTTGTTAATTGTTGTGTCGATGGGGCCCAAAGAGTACCCGATAATAATTATACAAGTTTACCGGCTATTGTAAGTAGTGGTTACCGGCTTAAATAGTAAGCTTTTTCTTCCCTATATAAAGGGATTTCAGTTTCCTTTGTAAACACACCTTTGAATAACAAGTTTGAAGTTTCTTGTAATATTGTCTCTACCATTCACTTTCTATACTTCCATTTTATACAAACTATCCGATATGCTTCCGCTAAATACAAACTTTTGGTATGTGTGTGTGTGTGTGTATATATATATATATATATATATATATATATATATATATATATATATATATATATATATATATATATATATATATATATATATATATATATATATATATATATATATATATATATATATATATATATATATATATATATATATATATATATATATATATATATATATATATATATATATATATATATATATATATATATATATATATATATATATATATATATATATGCGATGCTCATTATTTCCTTATTTACATTATGTTATTTTATTTACTTTATTTACTTATTTTTTGTTCTATACAATTTTGATGTCAAAATAAGAAAAAAAATATATATATAGGAGGAATATAAGTGTACTAGTACAGGTGATTCTTGCTACCTACACACCCAAAAACAAGGAGGAGCACAAAAACCCAAGCATGAAAAGAAAAATCTGGCCCACAAACATTCTGTGAGGAACGCGCCCGCCATGGGGTCTGGACTATATGCGGGGCAAAACCTCCATACCTCCATTTTTACTCGTTCCAAAGTTCCCTTCAAACCTCAAAACGTTCCAAACTTTACCATCCACTCACCATCTCTTTAATCATACCAAATCTCATTTCCATTTCTCTACATCAAAATCCATCGAAAATCCATTTTCACCAATTTCCCAAAAAATATCCATTTCTCTCATTGTCTACCTCAAAGGTACATAAATGGAGTACGACAGCTACATTCTTCGTCAAGGAAAGCCCGGAGAAAGGCAGAAGAAAATTCTCGACAAATTGCAGACCCGAGAAATTGCTTCGACCCAGTACGTGGACGAAGACTCTCTGTATACTCTTGGAATTTACCATAGTGTTTTTTATATGTTAGACATTTTAGGATTGCATGACATTTTTGCTAGGCACGATCCTACTTTCGAAAGGTTGACCCGAGAATTCTTGAGTTTCCTGATTTATATAATTAGGCCTAACACGGTTAGTGTCGTCGATACGATACAATTTAGAATGTTCTATATGGAATACACATTCAGTACCGATGAACTAGAAGAGAGGTTGGGATTGCCATTTAGTCATGATGCTGTTTGTGAAGCACCATTAGATTCTGATTGGTCAGTGGAGGAATTTTCCTTTTGGCACAGGTTGTCAAATTTTACGATTACATCTTTAGAAGGAATTCTTGCCTCCCGGATCCATAACCCGGCCATCCGTGTTTTTTGTTACATGTTGGTCTGTACTATTTTTGGCCGGGAGAATCCAAATAAGGTGAATGCAAAAGAACTTCTATTTTTGCAAGGGTGCCTCACAAACAGAAAATTTAATGTGGTTCATTTTATGATTGCCCATATGACTGCTGCAATTAAGGGCACATGAACCATTGCCTTCAGAGGACTAATTACGTCTATTGCAAAGGCTCTGAACCTCAAAGCTGAGATAGCCACCTTAGCACTTCTTCCGCCTCGCACAATTAATTTAAAATTCTTAAAAGACATGAAATTGTGGAAGGTAAGGAAGAAAGGGGGCTTTGAGCTCATGATCCATGGGAAAGTTATCCCATCTATTATTTTGCCTTGCACTAGACGTACTGGTGTGCGTATCATGAGGAACTGGACCTAAGATTTAGATGTTCCACCTGTTACGGGTCCATTACCTCCAAATGTTCCAATTGGTGACAATGATGCCTCTGATGACGAGTATGACCGGAGAGAGCGGCTTCCCGATCATCCTATCTCGCCCCACCATGTATCACCCGCACAAACTGCACCGTCTTCTTCTCACCATTCTGCAGGTACCGCTCCCGGTTTCTATATTTCCGAGCAGATGTGGCGCGATCAGTTAGCTAGAGAGGAAAGACAGAATAACTTGCTCACTACCATATAACATCAGTTAACTGACAACATGAGATTTATGCAAGAGTCTCAGCAACAGATGAGCCAATCCATGCAAAGTATAATGCAATCGCAGGCTACTTTGACCACCCAATTCGACGAGTTCGCTGCTTCTCAAAGCGATCGTCGTCGCAGTAGATCTCGTCACCATAGGTACTAACCGCACGCTGGCGACAACACCAGTAGCATATCTTAGGACCTTCAGGTAACTCGTCCTATCTTATTTTGAAACATTGGGGACAATGTTCGGTTTAAGTGTGGGAGGAGACTTTATTTGTTTTTCTCGCATTTTCTTTTCTTTTATCGCTTTCTAGTTTATTTTTAGTTTATTTCTCTTAATTTTTTTCGTTTTTAGAATACGCATGTGCTTGATGAGTCATTTGTAGTATACCCTTATTCCCTCATTCCTTAGCCTCACCAAAAATTTTATTGACAAAAAGTGTATTATCCTGAAAATTTTTAGGCTTTGAGGCAAGTTCAAGTTAGGATGCGGATGACTTGGAAAACCCCTTTTTTGAAACATCGGTATCATTTTAACACCTTAGGCTTCACGAATGTAGAAATCGACCCTGATACCCCATGTACCATGACCTTAATAATAACGTTTGTAGTAAGTCCTTAGTAGTTTATCCTAGCAGTCAGCTCCGGAAACGATCATAACTGGAGTTCCGGGAATCCGTTTGAGGCGTTCTGAAAATCGCCGGAAAGCTAAGAGAGAGAGCTACGACTTTCGTGTTGGAGTCAAAGTCATATTTGGAGCATATTTTCCCAAAATATTCGTTGAAGTTACAGCATTAGGAATTTGTTTTAGTTTTGGGTCATGTTTTTGGCCTGGGTTATATTTTCGACCCAGTTGGTTTTGAACCGGATCCATTGTTTTTATTTTTAGGGGAAACCTTGTTTTACTGTTAATTATATACTATTCACGAAAAAAAATTGAAAGAAAGGTTTGAGAAGAACTCATGGAAAACTAATACCTCCGGGCAAATCCTGCTGTGTACGGTTTCAACACTTTGAGGTGGGGCTGACAATGAACCGACCAACTCAAAAATAGTTCGGAATTCGATTTGACAATTAAATCGTTGAACTAGGTTCATGAACCAAATGAGTTGAGTATGAGCGAAAAATTAAGTTCGTTAACTAAATGAGCTGAACTTGAACTATACATAGTTCGACTCGTTAGGTTCATGAGTAAACTCGATTAGATATGAGAAGAATTATACTGTATTTAAGATTAGGTTTAAATATTTACTCCAAATCTTAGATAAATTTAATCTTCAATTTAGTAGTTTTTAAATTAGACTCTCAAACGTATCTCTTGAAAGTTGTGTAGGTTTTGAATTAGTAGATTTCGAAGATGAAGTTAAATTTCAATATGATAACTTTTATTTTATTTTAATATTTTATTTTAAAAAAATATATTTATTTAAAATGTCAAATATACTAAAAAATATATATTTAAAAAAATAGTTTTTAAGTCCGTGAATCATGTGAGTTGAACCTAATGAGATGAACCTAACAAGTTGAACCGAACTGTTCGTGAACTTATAACGAGTCGAGTTTGAGCTTAAAAAAAAGTTCGTGTCAAACTCGAACTCGAACAATTCTTAACGAGTCGAGCCGAGCTGAGGTGAGTTCGACTCGACTCGACTCATTTCCAGCCCTACTTTGAGGTTATTATAATATCAATTTAAATCTGATTCCTTTCAATCCTTTTCTATGAAGTCATTTGCTTAACTTGACTGCAATTGTTTGTTTAATTCAATTGTTGTTCATAGGATAGAATTGGTTAAGTTCGATTGTATGCATGTTCCTAAATTTAATTGCGTGTTATCGTTTGCTTAATTCGTTAATTCGTCATATTCTTAACCATTTGCTTAATTCGGTAAACAGGAACATAATTCATTTG